CCAGTGCTTCCTTTGGTGTGGAATCACCGGAATAATTACGCCAGAACAGGGACACGGCTATGAACAAAAAACCTAAATATTCTAATAAAAAAGGCTTCAGGTTGATTCAACGTATGCGGTCTCATCCCGTGTTAATGTCGTCAGTTGTACAGGGACGTTATCCCGGATGGGACGCAATTTGCTCAGTGCTGGGTTTACTTGTGAACACATGGAATAGAACAGAAAAATCAATACAGCAAGGGAACCAATCACGGGGCCGCGTACTCGCAGAGTGGGCTCAGAAACGACCACACACATCAGACATTATCGTGAGCTGATTGGCTACACGAACCTCGCACGTCTTTTCGCCTTAAAAACACGAATTGTTCGATTAGGAGCGATGATTGGCTGTAGTTTGCTCGATAGGTAACTTGGAGCGTAAGGACCGCCGCACCTGGAGTTATGTAGAAGGGACGCTATCAGTCAAATCAGGGTGGGAATGTGAGATGGTACTGTTAGGTAACTTTATAGGATACGCATAGAGCTGATAAGACGTGTTCATGTGAATTCCTCAGTTTTAACGTTCTACAATACATTCTCGGTACGTTGGACGACCTTCCTAGAACACGGGCGTTGGGAGTGAAGAGCCGTGATACTGCTTCATGTCGTCTCTCCACTATGTTTTACTGGCCACATTAATTTGGGGGAAACGCGTGCGTTTCTAAAACAGAACTTCGCCTTGGGATTGTAACTGGGTACCGAGTTACCAGGTTCCGTCCGATGTGAGCGCAAAAAACTGTGCGGGTTTTCTTTGACAATCCCTCTACTTCGAAGCTTCAGAGACTCTTGTTTCTGAGCTATCAACAAGCTCTTAAGCCTGACCGTTGGATTGCGGATGGATGGTGATTTCGTTGAGAAGCGAAGAAATTTGAAAAAACTCATGATTTGTAGACTGAGCTCCATGTTCTGTCACCAGAAGCCTCGGAAGTGAAACTACGTGTGGTCGGAGCCAACCTAACCTCAAAACATTCCCAATATTGACCACAACAGCAGAAGCCCTTTCATTAGACTAGCAAACTGAGCTTTAGCAATGGAAATGAGTGGGATTTCACCAGGAATCAGGCATGTATCTATCAGTCAACTTGTCCTGGATGCATAATCTATTGAGTCATGGAGACACTTTGTTCTACTATACAAATATCACGCTTTGTAAGCGATGCTGACTGGTGGGATCAACCAGTACGCATTTAATCCGCAGTGGATGTTACTCCCTGCCTTTTTTTCTTTCCTTTCAGGCCACCCATCATTTTCTTATCCTGCCGAAGAAACCTATTCGACGCCTGACAGACGTCGGTACCACGGACTTGTCGCTGTTGCAATCGATGCACAGGGCGGCCGAATCATTAGCGCTTGAGTAAATATTGAGTTGATACCTTCCTTATTCTCTCATAACCATCACAGTAGCTCGCACTGGTAGATAGTTCGTAGGCGAATTTTTCTTGTTCAAGTGTGGGGTAGTGGTTGACTGCCCATTTCAGCCCTTAGACTACTTATGAGTAGTTACGGGACTCGTTGATTTGCATCTGGTTTGAAGATTAGTGTGGAACACTGCACTGAAGGCTCGCTCTTGTCAGCATTCATTATTCCCATAGTATATCCTTGACCTCACGGGACTCCGGTCACCTGACTTGTAGCAGAAAGTCGTGATGACCAGTTGTCCAGAGGTGCACGCTGGTCATGTCTGATTTATCGCGTCCGACTAATGTCCCTTGAACTCTGTTGTGTCAGTCAATGGACGTTGGTTACTAGGTTTATGTTAGGTCTGTTAGGCCTCCCTTACCTCTCAAGGTGTTTCTGGTTCATTTGGACCGGAGCACAACAGCAAGGTACACTAAGAATGAAGCGGAAACGTCTTGCTGCTGGGGCATGTTTACCTGATCCGCGAAACCCTAGCCGAATGGTGAAGTCAACTTGGCAAGACCGTTCTAGCATTCATTCAGTATGAATTGAATTTTTGATATATGAAGTGGCGGACGTGCGTTCCGAATGACAGAGATTGATCGCATGAAATAGTTCCCTCGTGGTACTGAATGCGAAAAACTGCTCTCTTAGTTTCTCGACCGAAGAAATTCACAAATTTAGTGCAGTTCTTTTAAAAGAGAGAAATCACCGGGTTCAGGGGACAATGACGATTCAGCTCCTTGTTTTAAATCCGCGCCTGAAATAACGGTTGTGACAAGCACGTGAAATCGGTGACAAACTCTGAATTCGGCTTATGTGGCGCGCCCTACTTATCTGTCTCTCTCTACATCTCGCTTGCTTCCGTTACTCCAGATGAGGAGCGTCAAAGTTCATCAGGAGTTATGAACTGAAACAACAAACAGTAGAAAGTGATACTGTCTCGTCGATCAGACTTCGATGACCGTCATAAGCGAGAAGTTCAGCTGGATTCAATTGAGTCCCCTGTCCAAACCAAATTCGTGTGCAAATGAGAGTAGTTGTCGGAATCTGTCCAACTGGTGTCCAAGAATAACTTAGGGCTTCCGCCTACATGCTGAGCTTCAAGAAGGGCGTAACCGTTCGTTCAAAAAGTTTTCAGCAACCTTATGAGTAGTGTGTTGCGTATAGGCAAAGGTTTTCAAATTTCACTACGCGGACGACTGAAACAGTAAAACAGGGAAACAGGTAGTCTGATGAAGTAGTCTTTTTTGTTTTGCTAAGAAAGGGGAAGGAGTTCTTGCATAACGGCGCAAAGTAATTTCGAGAAATACACTCATTTTCAAATCAATTTGGTTTCCACCAGACACTCAACTGAACCTCTCGTTTATGATATTCTACAACTGAATGTGCTGCACACAGGCCGCCTCATAATTCAGTTGGCACGATATTCGAGATATCGCAGTATATTTTCATGAAGGAAACTACTCACAAGGTTGCTGAAAACTCTTCGACAGCCCTTCTTGGGGCTCATCAGGTTCAAGTAGAACATAAGGTTGACGGAAACTCGGGAACTGCACCTACCTGATGAGCCCCAAGAATGGCGAAACCGGTCGTGGGCTGTCGAAGAG